ATACATATATATGTGTGTTTTAGTTTAAAAATATATTGTTATTCATGTATTGATAAAAAGTTTAATGTCTGCCTCTTGATGTCTGTCATTAGCCATCGGTTGGAGGATGGCGTTTACCCATAATGCATTGAACCATCATTCACCAGATTGTTCAACAACAACGTGGTGCTCACCATCAGCAGCGTTGCAGACATCGTTCATATCTGTAACATCATCTAATTAAAAGACATCACTTCTTGTCAGACAGTTTCTCACAGCTAGCTGAAGCAAATTGATTTTCAACCCCCCCAGTCTTGGCAAAGAAGGAATGAATAATGCATGGACATTAAGGTCTTATCTCCTGCCCTGACAAACAATGTGGCCATGCTTTGAATATTCCAGAAAGGTGTGCAAAGGTTGTTTTATGTGGCAGATCAGACAGACAGGTGCCATTTTCATGGTCGGTCGTTCTGCTTATGCTGCGGTTTGTTTCCAGGCAGTAACGTAATCCTGGGCACAATCAACAAATGTACTTCATGCTTCACAGTTTGTGACAGCATTTAAGTTATTTGCATTGAATTTTACAGCTGCCACTTTAACATTAAACTAGCAAAAAAAAAAAAAAAAAAAAAACTTTAGCCAGATATTTTTGCCTTAGACACAAGCATGCTGTATAAGGAGACAGTGCCTACAACATGCAGAGCACACAGTTAAAACATATCCTCAGTGATCAGAGTCTATTTTTTATTGAAAACACCAATTACTGCACTATGTCAGCAGCTGTGTAGCAACACATTCAGATTAAAACAAGAGAAGCTGCTGCTCTAACCATGTTCCAGTATAGCTGTTTTATACCTACGAACCAAAGAGCAGCAGCAGTAATAAAAAAAGATTAGCCATGCTCAATAAATCTGATTGACTTGTGTTTTTTTAATCAGCCCAGTAATATCATAAAACATACTGCTTTTCCAATTAGTTTTTATTTCCTGCTGTGAACATTGTGATGTTAGATGATTAAGAAGGTTATTGTGTGAGGCTTTGTATTCTGAGGCAAGTTTAGACAAGTTTTAATGCCATTGCAGCTTTCTGTACACCGTGATGCACGATGTGCATGTAAAATGGAAGTGCTGACATGTTTACAGAGGAATCCTGAATTTGATGCAATGCTCTGATCGTGTCTTCTTCTTGTGTGAATGCTTATAATGATCAGTGTTTATTTAATACGTTTTTTCAACACGTAACTCGTGCTGCAGTTTTTGTTCTATTTTAACAATTCGCATATCAGAACGTTCAGCTCATTCAGGACATTCCTGTTATGACATTTAGTATTTGTGCAATTTTAACTTTTCCAAATATTTAACTTTATTGGCCATTTTTCTCTCATTAAAAATGAATGAATAAATGAAAAATGAATGGAGAAACAACATATAAAAGTAGATAAAATATCCAACATTTTTTTAAAGGACATAGATAAATTGCATCCTGGACATGTCACTACATTAGGAAGTTTCCTAGCTTATCTAAAGTTGAAAAGAACTTTTTAAAGATAAAATAAAATCAATCATTTACTGGTCTTTTGCAGGTTTAAGTATGGACAAGTTGAAGAAAATACCTGTTTAAAGCGACAATGACCCCTAAGGAACAATGTGAAAAGCTCATTTAAATACAGCACTGAGGTAATAATGTCAAATGGCTCTGAGTGGTCCAGAAGTGGCTTTAAAAACTCCCCAGACAAGCTGACAAAACGTCCTACTGAGTGCATTTGTTAAGGATATACTTATTTACTGGAAACAACTTCCAAGTAGAGTTTTAATGCAACGTTTCAGGGAGTTATTAATTCATAGATTTGGACGGTTACCTGCAGTTTTGTGAAACATCAAGTTGCATCTAAAGAAAAGAAAAAGGAAACTCAGAGACGAGCAAGGCAGGTTTGAATAAACTGCTGCAAAGAGGGTGGTTTACTCTCATTAAATATCACATTTCGTTATGAGCCTTAAAGTGGAGAAATAATAAAAAAAAAAAAAATCTGATAATTGGGAGAAAAAACGAGTTCAAGTTGGAGCAACTCAACTCTGCAAGGAAGCTCAGCTCTCCCTAGAATGGCAGGGGTTGCTTTTCTTCTCGTGACTTGCCAAAATGGGTTTGTACACACACACACAAACACACACACACATTTATATGTTTCATGGGGACACAACTTTTTGTCATCACTTGCAGGGAGCACCCTTTCTAAAGGCACCTGAGTCCTAAAAAAAATAAGTGTAGCAACCAAAGCTGTGTTCGCCTATTCATGTGTTTAAATACTTGAAATTGTGAAGTACCAATGGACACAGTAGAATGCACATACTCAAACACGCCCCTACACAAACTCAGACATGCGCACACACACGTACACATTTATATGTTTCATGGGGACACAACTTTTTGTTATCACTTGCGGGGACCACCCTTTCTAAAGGCACCTGAGTCTTAAAAAAAAAAAAAAAAAAGTGTAGCAACCAAAGCTGTTTTACTCTACACATGTGTTTAAATACTTGAAACTGTGAAGTACCAATGGGCGCAGCAGTATGCGCACAATCAAACACGCCCCTACACACACACAGACATGCGCGCGCACACTTCTGATGTGGGGAACACTAGATAAGACTCTCACAGTGCCATTTCCTCTTGTGACTGTTTCCTCACGAAGAGGTTCAAATACAAAGGGCTGACGGGATGAAGGCTGATTATAAATTCTTTTCCACTGCTAAATGTGTCAAACCAGCCAAATGTCAAAAGATATTCTGTCAGAGGATATCGAGTTGACTGAAAATGTCAGAGAGGGAGGAGGCTTCAAGAAGAGCACGGGGAGGAAACAAAGGAAGAAACTGGCACACGTGTGTTTGTGCGACTCAGATCTGGCAGAAAGCACCTGTCATCATCATGCTGCCTAATGATGGGGGCTCAGCCTGAACTACTGTTTCTCCGCAGTTGTGACCTGTTTTCTTTGGAATAATTCCACTTTGAACTCCATCCATCTCTGTCAGCAGATCAAACGTTTGGAGACTAGCAGCACACATGTTGGCAACAACCAGGAGGTCTCAGACGGTAAAACTTTGGCAAGATTTCAAACATCATTCGAAGTTCACCAACTCTAGAAGTTTGAGCTGCCTCTACAAATCTACAAAATGTTGAGAAGTTCTTTACTCCACAAAGTGGAGTGCATGTTAAATTATAACCTAAAAGCGCACAAGGCCCACAGAGATGAGTCTTGATAAGTTTTAACTGAATAGATTTTAAATACGTCACAATTCTTGTTATTTCCGTTGCAGTCGGCTCAGTCCAAATCAATTATCTCTGACCAACATCAGTGATCGGGACAATTCTGTCGTCGTATTTCAACACCAGGACGATGTGAGCAATAGGCTTTGAGATGTGCAATAGGACACATCAAGAACCATTAAGGAGTATTGACTAAGACACAGAGTGAGGAATTTGTCACGTCTGATCCGTCATTTCGGATGGTGTTAATAAACCATGCAGCTATGGAAATATGTATTCTATCTTTGTTTGCCCCTCTTTATCAATCAACCTTTATTTATACAGGTAAATCCCATTGAGCCTCGAGGACTCATTTACAAGAGAGACCTGATTTCAACAAAGAAAGATGACAACAATGGACAACAGCAACAACAATAAGCAGTTATAAAAACTCATACTACAGTTTTTTTTTTTTTTTTTTTAACAAATAGGATGGCTAAAAGGAAAAGGTAACAAAACAAAAAACAGCTAGATTCCAAGACAAATGTAGAAAACTAACAACAGGAACATGTCAGCATTGGACCCTGCCAGGAGTCCAACAGATTCTTAAAGCCACTTAGAGAGGTCAAGGTCGAGATGAATTAGATGAATTAAAAGCTCCGTACTCACCAAAGGCTGTGTAAAACTCTTCTTGCGTCAGGTGCTCGTCATCGTTCACATCGTTGTACTTCAGCAGGTCGAACAACGTGCACTCAGAGGTATCCTTGGATAAACCTTCATGCTTGATGACCTTCAAAGAGAAGGGGACAGATTTCCATGAGGGGGAGTCAGTTTACCAAAGCTTCTAAATGTGTGGGAAGTACAATTTCTGCTGATGGCGGCAGTGAAAACTAAAATTACTGACCATTTTACTGATGATAATTTTCTGATGCAACAATTATCTAGGAAAAGTACATTTTAGATTTATTTTATAATGAATTACTGTTCCTCTGATTGGTTTAAAATTAAAATAAAAAATACCACACTGAGGGAAAAAAAGCCAGTTTGATTTGAAATGGGCAACGTGAAACTAAAATGAGCCGCTCTCTTAACATTGATCAAAGAGCTTTAAAATTTAATCTCAAAGAGGATGCGGGACGTGAAACCTGGACTTGGATGTTCAATAATACATTTTTCAAACCTGTCATTCATCACAATGCAAAGGCTTTACACATATTTTGGTACAGAACAATTGTCTTCAGATAGAAGTTTTCTGACTTTTCTATCCAACACAATGCTGGTTCTGTAGACACTGCTGCCTGCAAATGTTCAATTTATTGGAAAATAATAATAATAGAGAAGTCATTATTATATATATTTTTAACCTGTAGTACAAGCACAGCTTATGCATGTTTTTGTGAATGATTTAAACTAAGGGTACAAAAACTTTTAAACAAAATATATTAAATACAACATACTAACTCAGAAAAAATATATATATATATCAACAGAGTTAGTGCTGAGTAAAGACTTGGCAATAAAGAGAGAATAATATTGGACTCAGTCTAAAGTACACCTGTCTTAATTCAAGGTTCAAGATTACTTTGTCATTCGTATCACATGTGGTGCATGAGGTGGAATGGAATTGTGTACTTAGCATCCCAGTTACACCAAAAATAGCAATAATATAAACTATAAAAAAAAGAAAATGGTATACAAGGATCTAAGATATAGGCTACACTAAACAATAATAATATAAAATAATGAATACATGATAATAAATTAGGTCTGGCCGCATGTTTAACATTGATTTAGTCCTCAAAATCTTCATTTTAATACAAAGATGCTTTGAAACTACTTAAACAATGTATCTAATACCAGATCACAGTTAGGTCAATTTGTTTTAAAATAATATGATAGTATGTCTTGTTTTTTATTTGTGCTATTATTTTATTGGAATTTTACTGCCAATTTGTATCATACTTGTATTTTTATTAAACTTAATTATATTTCTTTTATCATATTTTTAATCTATAATGGTTGTAATTGTGAAGCACTTTGGTCAGCTGACGTTGTGGTAAATGGGCTATATAAATAAACTTTGATGACTTAAAAACTTTTTATCTATTGTAGACTTTGAGGTTCTTTAAAGCATTTCTTTCTCATGATATGTATTATTACTATTATTATTATATATTTTTTAAAGTAAATAGCGTCAGGCTGTCAGGGTTGTTTTTGCATAGACAAAGTTTTTGGGTTTTTTTTGTCGACCGTGTGCTTCAAAAGGTCAAGATGTTGTGTACCAAGTTTATTTTTTAACTGATAATGGCAGTCAGAGCAAAACTCACTGAAGTTGAATCGCAGCGGTGAAAAGGTTCAAAACTCTTTTCATCATTTCTCCGCCATGTGTGGCCTTCAGTCAAACATCCATCAGACAAGATCAGCTGTCCAAACCATGATCACAATGGACAGCTTTATTCATCACGACCTGTCTGATGGATCAGCGTGCTCCATTTAAAGAGGACTTGTTTAAAACTTTAGATGGTCGTCTGTAAATGGACAGAGTATTCTAAAAAAACTGCTTTACACAATGCTCCAATCCTGCTCAACAGAATACATGTCACTGAGCAAAGGCTTGCTTGCTTGTATCTATGTAATAAGGAATATTCCTTGCTTTTCAGGACTATGTGCAGACTTTCTGCACCCTGAAACCTTTATTCAATAAAAAGTAAAAGGAGTTGTAAAATGGCACTTTTCTATTTATTTACCATATTTTCTGCCGTACATGTTGCACTGCCATATAAGTCGTATCAGTCCAAATATGTCTAATAAAGTGAAAAAAATAAAATAAATGCGTTGCTTCGCCATATACGTCGCGTCTATCATGCGTTACGCGTTTGTTACGAGTCACCGCTGACAAACCAGAAATGTGGGCCGGTGTTGTGCCAAAAATCGATCGGCTGCCAAATGTCGGCTGCGGGAACGTGCACGGGAGGACTTTAACAATAATTGAACAAGATTAACACTAAAATGAAAATTAGGCAAAAAGGTGTGACTTAAATTCCGGAAAATATTGTAAAAAGCAACTTTCTATCTTACCAAGATATTCAAAGCTCTTTACAACAATCTGTGCCTCATTTACCTATTCACACAGCTCTATACTAGATCTATAGCAACAATAATCAGAGCTTTATCACATTCATACATCGATGAGACACATCGGAGGCGAGGGGTTCAGTGACTTGCCCAGGGACACTTCAGCATGTGACTACTGGTGGAATCAAACCCCCAACTCTTTAATTTGAGGAGGGCTGCTCTAACCCCTCAGCCTCAGCTGACCATAGTAGAAACTAGTTGTACATAGAAACTGATCTAAAACGTACTAAAACCAACAAAACAAATCTGGTCACGATGGTTTGTAATTTTTCTTTTTAAAGCTGACATTTAAGTTTTTGTGCTGTAGCTGCATGCCTTAGAGCAGCAGCTTCGTACTGAAGCCGTGTCAGAAACAAAGTTTGATTCCTGTGGGTTCTCCTCTACATTTTCTGTAGCTAAAGGCCTGAAATAGTGAAAAACAGACAGACCGTGTACACCAAACTATCTGTGGCACAACACTGATGTGAGAGCCAGACGTAATGTTTGAGACTGCAGCCGCTGCCTGTTTCAAATCGAACTTTAATTTACAAATTCAATGGAACATTGGTTGATTAATCAGATGGAACCCTTCTCTTACAATTAACCGTAGCAATATGTTTATAATAATACAGGTTATTATAGACTACATTTATCAAATTTCTCAAAACCTACTTTGCTAATAAAGACATTATAAAATATAGCTTTAATATATGGAAACACATAATTATGAGAAATCAAAAGATGCTGATCAAATCTGTGTCGTGTTCACTTAAGCACAGAACCACACGATTCTGGTCAGGTGCTGTCCTAATGTTCATATTTTAACACATCCGTAAAGATTTGCTCCTAAGAAAATTTCCTTTGTTCACTTCAGTTTTTAAGTTGAGGTTAGATGAATCCAGAGTCAACTCGACAGAAAAATAAAATCAATTCTGGCATATTTTCTGTCGGTCAGTCACGTTTTAATCACAATATCTTGTGACGGTGCCTTGCATCTCTATGCTGATGATACTGTTGTATATTGTTGAGCTAACACAGCTGCCAAGGTTTTTCAGCTTCTACAGTCTGCACTGACATCATTCAGTCAGATTTTTTCCATCTCAAACTGGTACTAAATACTGATAAAACCAAAAGGATGTCGTTTTCAAACAGGAAGTTGGTGCCATAATCTCTTCCTCCTATCTTATCTATGAATGGTGTTCCTCTTGAGTTTGGGAATTCTTACAAATACTTGAGAATGTTGGTCGATGCACATCTCTCTTTTAAGCTGCATGTTGAAAACTTGGAAAAGAAACTGAAATTAAAACTGTGTTTCTTTTTCAGAAATAGATCTTGTTTAACTTTGAACTCCAGAAAACACCTTGTAGCTGCTACTTTCCTACCAACCATTAACTACGGTGACATTATTTACATGAATGCTCCTGCCAGTTCCCTGCAGATGTTGGATGCTGTCTGTCGTGGTGCACTAAGATTCATAACTGGTTGTAACTACCGTACCAATCACTGCACCCAGTATTCACTGGTTAACTGGTCATCATTATCTACATGTAGACTCAAACTGGTTCATTTTCATCTATAAATCACTTCTAGGTCTGGTGTCTTATCTGCTCCCACACGTCACGTCGTCAGTGCAGTTACAGCGTGCGCTCTCAGGCCATTATTACCTGCAGTGTCCCCTCAGTGCAGACTGAACTCTGCAAAAAGTCCTTTTCTGACTCTGCTCCTGCAACCTGGAACACCTTACAATAGAAACTGAAGCTGTCCATTTTGATTTTTTTAAGGGACTCTAAACAACTGAGAAGGTCATTAGAAAAATCAGAGCAGTCATGTTCATGTTTTTAGTATTTTACCTTGTTTTATACGGCTTGTTGATGTTGTTTTTATAGCACCATTGTTTTTAATTGATGTTATTGTTGTGTTGTTTATTGTACTTTATAGTACAAAATAATATAGTATTGTCTATCTATCTCTCTTGAAAATGAGTCCTTGTGACTGAATTAGACTAACATGTATAAATAAAGGTAAAAAAAAATCTAATCAAATAACTTGTGTAAATTACAGGAAGTAAAAGTTTGCCAATTCTACTTAAAGCTTCCTAACCTTTTCCATGTGCACATTATGATACAAAGTTAGTCTGGGTGAAATATTTGAGTCCTATAACATCAAATTCAACCATGGAAGGTTTTAAAAATAGACGTTTTAGGGCACAGGAGTTGCAGTCGATATTATTTATTTAAAAACTATCTGTGCAGGCTTTGCAGGGCTTGTTCACATGGGTGTTTTATTTCATTATTATTTTTAATCTATTTTCATGTTTTGTCAATAAAGCAAAACTGAAAACAAGCATGAAAAAATATGTACACTGGTTTGTGTGCAGATTTGTGAAAATGCAAGTCAACCTAAATGTTTTTGGTGCAAGACTTTCATGGATGGAGAAGAGCAGAGTGACGGAGTCTGTCGAGTGGAGGAAACATTTTGATCCACTACCAGGAGCAATGGCAGACCACAGGGGTGGCCAATTATAAATTATACTTATAAACCTCTAAAGTTTCAACTGATATAATTTATTTTATTTTATTAACTGAACAATGTCCTGGTTACTACACAAATAACTGTTTGCTGAGGTTGCTGAAACGGACTGACACTCTGGTCAGGCAGGATGATTCATTTTATTTTATTGTAACCTCCACTTGAAAGAAACAAACTAAATGTCTGTTCAAATTGTTGTGAAATTGTGACTCTAAAGGGACAGTTAAGTGTACAAAATTAAAATGTAAACTCAGTTCAAAACTGCATTCAAAGTTGATACACTGCCAACCAATAAACAAGCTAATTAAACTAGTTCACTATGTTATTATGTATATGTTTATTTTATTATTATGTATTATTTATTTAAAAATTCAATTGAATTAACAAAATAAAAAATAAAAAAATGGTTTAAATATTTAATTATTTTAAATTATTTATTTTTATAGTTGTATTTTATTGTTATTATTATTACTATTAACAGCAATAATGATATAATAATATAATAATAATAATAATAATAATAATAATAATAATAATAAACTTATTATTATTATATTTATTTATTTACTCTTGTTAATTATTGTGCTGTCATTTTGATAGGTGGTTGTAAAATTCACAAACCAAAAATATTTTTTCTGCTTCAATATTAAAACCAAAAACTTTCAGTTTTTATACTTGACTGAAAATCCCATGACACTTTCTTTCAATTTACTGATAATCTCTGACTGTGACACAAATGCCTCTTATTGTGAGGCCGTTCTGTATTATATCTACTAAAACTCTCATGTGTTGAAATAATAAAAAAAGGGAAAGAAAGATAAAAATAAGCCATTGAGCAATCTCTGATATGCCTTTCTCCATCTTGATGGTGGAGTGATAAAGTTTAGCCTGGAAAACCTTCAGGGAAATGTCGAAGTTTGAAATATCTGTCCAACATTATATTCAACTAAACATCAAAGGACATTTTAATTTATTCATAGCACATTGATTTTATTTTCCTAAAATATTGTTTGATTTATTATTACTAAGCACCCAAAAATAAACTTGTAAAATAATAAGTGTGACTTCTAGTTAATTTACGGAAGTTGCTGATGACGCAGACCGGCTCAGAAGGAAGATAACCGAAGGAAAGCTACTGAAATCCTGGTTTGCAAAACCACTGCAGGGAGTTTGGCCTCTTAAATTATTCAAATATGATGCATAATAGATCAGTCTTCAGGTAAACAAAGTCTTTGTTATTCTAAGAATGTCCTCTTTCCTCACGTCGGACCCACAAAGCTCCTTTACAGGATTCCTCCTGGTAAAACTGGTAAAAGGCTTTGGCCTCTCGTGACTGTACGGCTTTTACTTTGTTACCTGCACTGCTTTTTAAAGAGTTTACCTCGAGCCAAGTGTCACAAATACAAAAAAAAAACCCCACAAATAGAGTAATAAATGGATGAGATAAATCCACACATAAAAAGCACATAGATCTTCAATTTTATTAATATTGATGTGTTATTGTGTAATTTTAAGTCAAAGTAAATTATGGACGTTCCATAAAAACGTGTAAAAAGTGTCTCGATTAAATCTGATAACAAATGTTAGTGTGTGATATTTGTTCTGTTTTTTTACATTGTTACTACAATAAGACAGAAACCTACAAAAATAGTGTACTGCCTTTACTCTTACTAGAGCCCGGCAGACATGGAAATGTTGGCACTCGCCGATGCCGATACTGGGAGGGGAAGGCCAATGCTGATAACCGATGTATTGGCTGAAATATTTTGAACTTTGTCCACCCCCAAGAATCTAAACAAAAATCTACTTTTAAAGCAGTTTTAACTCTTGAAGTCTTCAGTCTTCCTAACATGCGTTCATATTTTCTATCCTCAACTATTCAACATAAAGTTATCAAGTGTGTTAAAAATATAAATTAAACAAAATAAGCACATTCTGTTCATTGTTTAAATAGTCACGTATGGTGAAGGTCTAATTAGTACTGACCGCTGCAACGTTTGTTTTTTTTTCCCAGACTAATAAAGCTTTCAGACAATGCATTTCATTGTAGACAACAAAGATAATGTTACTAACAATGGTGCGTATATATATATATATATATATATATATATATATATATATATATAT